CCCCAAAACCCCAAAACCCCAAAACCCCATGACACTAATGCTCTAGAATTAAAAGACTATCAATATTATAATATAATTAATGAGCAAGCCTTTTAAGTCAAGTTTCTTAAATAAAACTCTTGTAAATAAAGAAGGCAACAGCAATGATTTAAAAACTTCTTTACCTAATTTAATGAAGCAACAAGCCTAGATGAATAACTTATATTAAGGGAAAAATGTTGAATAATCTCAAAATATAGCCTAAACTGAACGAAAGCATCTTAATTAATCCAATTTAGAGGGTATCCATTCAATTAGAGAATCATAAACTAATCTGTTATAAAATTCTAAGTCTACTTAAAATTTGGGAATCAAATCTCTTAAAATGTAACAACTAAAAAGCATCTCATAAAATATTGGATTAATATCAGTATAAAGGTAAATTAACTAAGATGACAATAAAAATCTATAAAAACACAAGACTATGAGGAGAAATTTTTCTTAGACTGTATTAGTTTAAAGATTTACTATGAATAGTAAGAAAAAACTAATTAATTAAGACTTAACCAGTACAGATAATCATCAATAAGACCTAGAAGCAAATGAAGTAAATCTCAAAATATCCCCTCAAAAAAGTAGACTTTAGCATTCAAGTAGTCAAGGATAATTCACTGAGAGGCAGTAGCTAAGAGAGAGCAAAAAGATTTTGATAGGACTTTCTAAATATGACTGTAGTATATCAGATTTTACCTTAAATGAGAATAGTAATTTGTAGTAAAGTTTATCCTACCTTGATAAAAAGACCATTGAATAGTATCATCTAGACAATAAACAGATACAGAAAATGATGAGTCAAGTTCTGGATATGTCACATACTACCAGCCAATAAATAGAAAACTTAAGATTGGGTATCAATGATGCTATGAGAAAAGTGCATAGAATCTTATGTGACCACAATCCAAATTAAATGACAGAGGTCAGCTCAGCCTAAAAATTTATACAAAAAATCAGAATACTAGAGGACGAGCATTATTATTATAAAATAAACATTTAAGAAGAGATTAGACCATGTAGTATAAGTAAGGATTATATTTATTTCATTATTTAGCTTTGAAACTGGATGAGGGATAATGTAATATATATGTCTCTTTCAGAAATGAATAACCTTCTAAGCTGATTCATGATTTTTATCTTAAGAAGCAAACGAATATTATTTTTCCAAGTTCATATAAAGGCAAGCATATGTTCATTTGCATTTAAGGCATATTTGATAGCAATGGTGTTCTGGTTATTAAATTCCTTGAAAATGGTAAAATAAGTTTAGTTATAAATCTACTTAGACACACACAAAAAAGAGCTAACAAAGGGTTAGAAGATGCTAATAGAAAAGAAGAGATTTGAGAATCTTCACAACAGTATCCAGGAAATGATAGAAGATAAGAAAACTTATAACGAATTCTAAAAGATTGTAGAAGTTATACAAGAGAGGAGAAAGAAGTAGAGGCGACAAGGGAGAACAGTATCCCATGATGAGTATTTAGTAAAATACTAAACTTATAAAAAATTTGAATAGGAGTAAGAGAAACAAAGGAGAGAAATGGCTATTGTTAGAAAAGAATAGAATGAAGAGTTACAGTACTAAAGAAAAATAATGGACATTAATAGAAAAGAAACTAGAATACTACAGGTAATATAAATTCAAATTAATTTTTCTAGAAACTTGAGCAGTAAAGGATAGAGAGGAAAGTCTAAAGAGAGAAATTGAAAGTAGTTGAGTGGATAAGATGGTACCATTTGAATTAAATCTTGCAGAGATACAGTAAGAGCTATCTCTATAAAAGAGACATCAACTTCAAAAGAATAAGAAGAATAATTATGTGTAATAGAATCAAGAGAAACATTAAGTGTCATTTAAAGAGATTTGGTGAGGATTTAACTGAACGTCTTCAATTTAAATCTTAAAGGTAAATCTAGCGTCATCTTACTTTTATAGAATTTTGAGATTCTTATCATAAGTGACACTTGAGACATAGAATTAAAGAGCATCTTAGTTAATATGCGAACTATTGAAAGATACAGCTCAAATATATCAGTTGAAGCAAAACATGATATTGCACAACAAGCGAGTAGTATACATCCAGCAATTCTGGAGGAGAAACGTAAAAACCAAGATTGTGTAGAGAATGGTCTAACTAGATTAGTATTGGTAAAGAATCGTAACTGAACTTAACAATATTTCATCTGAGATCACTAAGTTCATTAAATTTGAGTCTAAAATGCCTCCTGAATAAAAAAAAAAGGTCTTGTTTGAAGCTGTGGTTTAGAGTTTCCATAAATTCAGAAAGCATTATGTGGAGTGGGAAAAGGATCTTGCAACAAAACCATCAAATGTATAGTTTGCAAGTAGAATACTTGAGAGATTTACCTCTTTTGTTTGGAATGAAAGCTACACAAAGCAAAGAATAACTCTTGAATTGAAAAATTATGTAGAAAAACATGGAACTGGCAAGAATAAAAAGACATAGCTATAGAGGTATAATACACTTATCAACATGAATGAGACAAGCAGTAGCTATGAAGTTAACAAGGCAAATGAAACAATGACCTCACTTAAAAAAATACAAAAAAGAAATTCTGAGTTTGATAGAGAAAAGCAGCAAATGATTGAGAATTTTATCAAGGAGTAATAGAAAAAAGCTCAGCCTGCTCCAAAGTAAGAGCTTATTATTCCTGTGCAAGAGTTTATAGCTCAAATTAAGCAGGTGCATGAGGAATTATTTGGAAGAACTTTGTCAAATATGAGCAAAAAATAATGAGATAATTCTTATATCCTTAATTTCATAAATCATAAATAGTGAATGAATTGATTAAGGCTGGGGTTTTGGGGTTTTGGGG